TCTTCCTTCTCCCTTCTTCTTCTTCTTCTTCTTCTTCTTCTTCTTCTTCTTCTTCTTCTTCTTCTTCTTCTTCTTTTTCTTCTTCTTCTTCTTCTTTTTATTTATTTATTTATTTGATTTGCCAATTGTTTACAAGATAATAAGTATAAGTGTATATATAGTTGTGAATACATGAAATGGGTACATATAAGAAAAATAAAAGAATAAGAGAAACAATAGGACAGGGACGGTAGGCACGTTGGTGCGCTTATGCACGCCCCCTACAGACCTCTTAGGAAAGGGGTGAGGTCAATAGTAGACAGTCTAAGGTTAAAGTTTTTGGGGTTTGGGGAAGAAACTACAGAGTCGGGTAGAGTATTCCAGACATTGACCACTCTATTGCTGAAATACGTCTTCAGAGCTACCGGTTCTACAGAGTCAGGCAGAACCAGTTGCATCTCACCCCTGGGCTTAGGCGAGAAGAAGGGTGAGAGTTGAGTTCGTCCCACCTGAGAGGCACCTGGTTGGAGAATCTAAGTTAAAACTGCCTGCCAATACTGGGCAGGAGACTCCAAGGAACCCGAACACACCTGCTGTTGCACTGCTTGTACTTCATCAGCCATGAGACCTTCCGACTCCAAGTCCTTGGCCACCTTGTTGATGTCCTTCAGACGGGACTCATTTGCTTTCAGATCCTGCGTGGAGTAAAAAAAATACTCGATGGGTGAGAATTCAGCAAGAGAATTCACGCCCAAGCTTTAGAAGGTCCCCGTTTTGACAATCTTGTTTCTGCCCCTGAGATGAGGGGAAGGAATATGTTTCGTGCCTCTCGTGGAAACATGTTCTTGTGGGTGCCCCTTAGCCGTTCATCACCCACCTTCTGGAAGTCATCAAACTTCTTCTGCAGCACCTCCACCTGCTCGAGGTCGGCCCCCACTTCCTCGTTGGCCAGGGTGGCCTCCTTCTCGTGTATCCACTGCTGCAGCTCATTGGTCTCCCGGAAGAGCATGAATTTCTTGCAGCTTTTCTCCAGCATGTCTTTGCGTTTCTCTCCCAGCTCCAGGAGGGAGTGGTACCTGCGGAGCAGCGGGGAGGAAGCAGACAAGGGAGCCCGGTCAGAGGGCAACGGAGCAGGTGGCAGTGTCACAGCAAGCCCATCTCCAGAGGTTTGGGGCTCCGCCTCTACAAACAATCACAGCAGAGCCAACAACGACAACAAGCAGACTGCAGCGGAGAGAAAAGGGTTGGTTGTTACAGCCCGGAAACTCCAGACTCCTTCCGTGGATAGCCTCATCCTCGGGACTCTGCGGCCCTAGCCAGATGGGGCTCCAGTTGTGACGGATTGCGAGGGTGGGAAGGAATTCGGAGGGTTGTATTCCCTGGAGCGCACCTGGCGAGCACCAGGCTGGGGGAAGCGAGGGAAACACGGTACAGGTAATCCTTGATTTACAACAGTTCGTTTAGTGACCATCTGAACTTACAACGGCACGGGGGGGGGGGGGGGAAGTGACTTAGGACTCTTTTTTTCCAGACTTATGACCGTTGCAAATATCCCCATGCTCACGTGATCAAAATCCAGATGCTTGGCCACCGGCTCATATTTATGACGGTCATAGTGTCCCAGAGTCAGGTGATGCCCTTTCGCGAGCTTCTGGCAAGGCAAGGCAAGGAGGAACCAGATTCCCTTAACAACTGTGGGCAAGACAGGTCGTAAAATGAGGCAAAAACTCACTTTAACAATTGTCTCGCACAGCGAGGTAAATTTTGGGCTCAACTTTGGCCGTAAGTCAAGGATTACCTATATCCCATAAAGCTGTGATGGCGAACCTATGACAGGCGTGCCAGAGGTGGCACGCAGAGCCCTGTGGGCACACAAACTGTCTCCAGCCGCTCTTCCGGTTTTTGGCACGCATATGCGCACCGGCCAGCTGGTCCTCACGGGTGCTGGAGTGTCAGAAAATGGCCTGAGAAATGGCTTGAAAATGGCCCAAAAATGGCCTAAAAACAGCCTGAAAAATGCCTTGAAAAATTGAAAACAGTCACAAAATGGCCTGAAAACGGCCCAAAAAACAGCTTGAAAATGCCCCACAAATGGCCTGAAAATGGCCTGAAAATGCCTTGAAAAATGGCCTAAAACAGGCCAAAAAACAGATTGAAAACAGCCACAAAACAGCCCAATAAACAGCTTGAAAATGCCCCCAAACAGCCTGAAAACGGCCTGTTTTTGGGCTATTTCTCGGCCCCTTTTTGCCCAGAAAAAAATCCTGAAAACTGCCAAAAAAAACCCAGGCTGCTTTTCCAGACATTTTCAGGCCAAAAACGGCCCGAAAAACTGGCTGAAAAACAGCCAAAAAACCAGGCCGTTCTTCCCACACGTGTATGTGCGTTTCCAGTTTGGGCACTTGGTGCTGGGAAGGTTCGCCATCACTGCCCTAGAGCACACCTGGAGAGCATCCCATCGGAGACGTTTGCCCAGATCTTACAGAACCGGCGTGAATGGGATTGTTTTATTTCTTTCTGTTTTACACCAAAGAGGCTCTTGAGCCACTCGAGTGTCTACGAGAGACGAGAGGCTGCTCTCTTTTTCAAACCCTTCCTGAAGAGCCCTTGGATGCGAGAGAGGCCCGTTCAGCCGAACGCTGCTAAGAGAGGGCTGCTAGCCCAGGCAGGCACCAAAAGACAAGAAAAAAAGAGTTGGCTACTTGAGAGACACGGCGTGAGTTTTAACGACGGTGAGGGCCTACTCACAGTTCTTCCACCTGTTTCATACGCAGAGATACACTGCCGATCTCCTTAGTAAGGAAAGTCCTGCACAGACAGAGAGAAGAGGGAGCATAGCAGGAAGAAAGAAAGAAAGAAAAAAGCATGCACAAAATTAGTCTGATTAACAAAAACGAAGGGGAGGGAAGGGCACGGTCCAACAAAAGCACGAAGGGCTCTTGCGGCAAATGACGGAAGAGGACAGTTCAAGGGGGAAGAACGGGGTGAGGGTGAGGGGGATACACACACACACACACACACACACACACACAGAGGACTCATCTCCAGGAGGGATGAGTCTGCCTACCGAGATGAGGTGGACCAGTTGCTCTTGTGGTGTGGAGACAATAACTTGGTCCTCAACACCAATAAGACCAAGGAGCTTATAGTGGACTATAAAAGGAACAGATCAGCCATCCAGCCCTTGCTTATCAAGGGAGACCGAGGGGAGCAAGTGGCCAGTTTTAAGTTTCTGAGTGTTACCCTAAAAGAGGACCTGACTTGGGGTGCTCACATTGCAGCCCTGATCAAAAGGGCCCAGCGGAGATTATACAACCTGAGGCTTCTCAGGGAACAACTACTAAATGAAAAACTGCTGGTGACCTTCTACCACTGCACCATAGAGAGTATCTTAACTTATTGCACCTCTGTATGGTTTGCCAATTGCACAGAGGCAGATAGGAAAGCACTCCAGAGGGTGAACGTCATTGCCCAGAGGATCATTGGTTGCCATCTCCCCTCTTTGGAAGAGCTTTAAAGCTCCCACTGCCTTAAGAAAGTTCAAAACATTCTCAAAGATCCATCTCATCAAAGGGGCACCCCCTTTTTTTTTTTTGAACTATTGCCATCTGGCAGACGGTACAGGACAATAATAAAAACAAGGACAAATAGGCTGAAAAACAGCTTCTATCCAAGGGCAATAACTATGCTGAATTCCACTGTATAGTACACGGAAGATGGTATTTAATTTTGTTGTATGATGTGCAATGACAATAAAGCAAACTAAACTAAACATACACGCATCATGGCAGCGTGAAGAAAACCAGGGCGTGATTACAGAGACCAGTTTGATTCCCGTTCAGTCAACAGAAGGCAAGGAATGGTTTAAAAATAAAAAAATAGGCTAATGAGGACAAGAAGCAGTTGAGACTCAGGTTAGGAAGGAAAAGATTATTTAAAAAAAAAAATTAAAAGAGGAATGCGGGTGATTTTTTTTCAATGGAACTGATTGTGGGAAAGAAGCAAGAGGCGGCAATAGAAACTAGGGGGCAGGTTAAAATCTTTCTCTGGGGTTGATCTCTGATCAGGTTAGGTCGAGTCTTACTGGTGGTCGATCTGCTCTTGGCGTAAAGCGATGCTGCCCTGTTCGTCTAAGAGGTTCTCGCGGGAGGTGGACTGGGCCGGGTCCAGCTTCTTCACGTAAGCGGCGGGAACAAAACCCTGGCGGTCGTTCACTTCCACTTTCCACCAATCCTACAGAGGGAAGGAAAAAATAAATAAATAAAAAGGAAATAAAAGGAAAATAAAAAGGAATCGGGCTCGGTTGCGTTCTGGACTTAGGCAAAAGAGGCGCAACTCAGTGTTTGTCAACCCCTCCAAAAAACGTAGAAAGGGGAATATAAGAACGTAGCTGGAACCAATAAAGGAGACCGTTTGTAGCTCGGGGTTGAAATGAGGGAGGTGCTTGGGGCTCTCTGAGCTTGGTGGATTTCTTGCAGACGTTTCATGACCCAACTATGGAATATCATCAGTGCTACAAGGGAGTGAGTGTTTGTGGACAGAGGAGGAGG